AGAAACCCGACCTAAATGCGTTAACTAGAAATTAAATGGCCAAATAGTAAAGAAGTTGAGGTGGTAACGTGGGTTACCACCGTGCCTCAAAGGGTTAAAATGTACCCTGAAAATTGTGTAATCGTAGGGCAACGTGGCAGTTTGAACAACTTTATGAGAGTCTTTGGAAATTTTACCATACATTCTACTAGCAAAATGTACACTAAAGTTAACGGCACACGATACTATTTTTCCTACTGGATGCAGAGTTGTAGATCAGATGACTAAGGGCCAGTTTCACAAACGTCGGTTAACTGTTAACCAGAGTTCAGCCAACTTCCTATCTTTTTCTATTTTGTTATCTAAGAAGAGACAGAGAATCAATTAACCTTCGGTTAGCAGCTAGTTACTAGTAAAACGTGTGGTAAAATTTCAAAAAGCTTTCATAAAATTCTTCGAAGTGCCACGTTGTCCCACGATTACATGATTTTTTGGGATAAATTTTAAGGAAAAATGTGTATAGAAATCCGTGATTTCTATAACAGCGCGCGCGCTGTAACAATCATTCCGGCGAAAGGCTCGCGCGACCCGACGCTACAATTAACAGCGTCCGCCTCTCTCATCCGCGACGTCTCGACGCGGTGGGAAAGGCAACACGCGCGCGACAACGGCAGACGCGCACGTCGCGCGCACGTTCCGGTTAATTGTTAAATGATTCCTCGATCTTTTCGCTCGCGGCCTCTCGGTCGCGCGGCCGGGGTCCTCGCAAATTAACGCGGACAAATCTGTCAGGGCGTATTCGACGCGCTCCCTCCGTCGTCGGCCATTCCCGGACTCGCGATTCCGTTTATCGCGGTCGCGACCGCACCGAAAATAAATCCGGTAGGCCGTCGTAACTAACGAACAATAATCCTCCCGCCCCTCCACCGCGCGCTCTTGATCCCACGATATAACATCGTCGCGCTCTTGCATCATTGCGATCTGTACCAATGCGGCCCTCTCGGCGCGCGTATATCTCGCGGGCGCGCGGAGACGCCCGTGTGTCGCCGCGGCATGTGACCCGGCGTTAAATTTGGAAGGCGCACTTAGGACGTGCGCCGTGCCCGGCGAGCGACACGCAAGCCGATTGTTACGTCGCCGCACCTTTCGAATGTCACGCGAATCGAACGACGGCGGGGCGGATAGGCGAGAAACCGTGGCACGCGACATTTTACACGGATGCAGTCGAACGGAAAATGAATCTTGGAAAAATGACAGAATTTCGGGCGGCGGTCCAAATATCATAATGTCGCGAATTGGGTTCGAATTACGGGAAACCGTCACGTTCACTTCGTTTATACGCGCAGGAAAAAAAGAGTGGCAGATCAATTTTTATAATATACGCAATTCAACCGAATACTCGCATTCAAACAATATTACAGTCTTGCTTAAATACTATAATTGTCACTCCAAGAATACATATAATTATTATGACAATCGAATTGTTATAATCTTCGATTTGAAAGTACGTTATTTTCTATCCGATATTGTTTTCTTCCATTCAAGAAAAGTATTCTTAAATAATAAGCGTATATTTTTATGCTTCGTTCGAGTAAGTTTTTCTTGTTTTGAGGTAATGTAATCTCATTTCAAGATTTTCACATCGAAACCAAGCATATTTTTAGAAGAATATTCTTTTTCTGTGCATATATCGTCCGTTGTAACGTCAATTTTATATCCGGTAATATCGTTAGCCTGGTTATGTGTGTAGCTAATTCGAGAATACTTTTGGAAAAATAACGGAATTTCGGATCAAGAAAGCCAGCGTGAAATCCGCCTGTCGGATAACTTGGTCGATTAGGTTCCAAGTACGGAAGACGGGTGTTCCATCGCGTTTTATTTACAGTGTATCGTTTGCTATAAAGGTAACTTTATTTCCAGTAATCGCACATATCGTTACCTCAGTTCTGGGACACGGCAAATGGAGAGTTCGCGTTTCCATTTGTCACAATTGACGGTGAACCTGAAAGCGGCGGAGCATCTGAAATAGTCGCGCCGGCGTTGCTAAAGATAGGATAAGAGAATCGTTGCGTTTAGCGGGCGCATCGTGTTATCTGACGTCATCTCGACGGGACGCCAATATATAATATATGATTTAATGTTCCCTTCGTGTCATACCGCCACGAAATTCCGTCGCGAACTTTAAGGTACGCCCGCGTGTGTGTTATTCACAACGGAGATACCCCGAGAGTGGCGAGCCCGAAATGCTGTAGCGGAAATGTGATTTACGAGACGGAAGCGATTTATTGCCTTTCGTTGTGAGCTTGCATAATATCGTGTCAGCCAATTGGAAGATAGGAGTTGCTTATTTTCGGTCTCGTACACATAGTACGTGCATTTCGACTCTCCACGCGAGACATGAATTATTTTCCCTAAAGAGAACCCGAGGACACACGGAGCGGAAGAGTGTGTCGAATGAAAACTGTAACGGGCACTCGATTATACGTGCCGCAGGTATAAGTATACATGTGTATCTATTGTATGATAATTTTTCAATGGTTTCTACCTTGCGCTTGACAGGGAAGTGGGACAACACATAGATATCTGTGCGTAACCGATAGAGCTGAAGGATTAGAATAGTGCGTGACTAACACCGTGGGTTTTTCTGTCAATGTGATGCACGCAATAGTGACAAGGCGATCTCAGAGACGTAACGACGCGTTAATCGCGTTCCATTGTTTCAATTCTGGCCGATTAGATTAATAGAGGAGGGTTCTCTACGGGGTAGAATTCTAATACGAGCTAGCAGGTTCTCAACGTCCAAATTCAATGGCAAGTCATTTTTCGCAACGATTACGCGATCTAATTTTCCGCTAAACAGATTTCACTCCAGGAGCAAACAATTCACGGTGGAACCAACAGACGATGCCTATTCATTTAGCGGAAACTCCGCTATCCCACATTAGGAGCTTATCTCATAATAGGGGACTTTTCTCTAAATGTCGCTCACTGAAACGAAACATTTCCGAATCGAATCGATTAATTATTATTATTATGAGGTGGGTTCTTGATACGAGAGCGCAGTGTCTGCTAACTTAATAGGTCATCTGTTGGTTCCACCAGAAATTTATTGCCCTTGAAGTTTGTTCAGTGAAAAATTCATCGTTAGTTGGAAACCTGCTATCTGATATTGGGTGCCTGTCTCATAATAGGGGACTTTCCTCTACGCACCGAAGTACAATTTTAGGCGATTTTTAGCGACTGTCTGATACATACACTAAAGTGTACCAGTGCACACCATAGACATAATATATCTTTCACGTAGAAAAGGACAAGCTCTGTTTTGTGCTATTTCGTTCTCTTTCGTTCGCATGTAAACAAGAGAGAACGAAATAGCACGAAACAGAGTTTGTCCTTTTCCACGTGAACATCCACCCCCCACTGCTCAAATAAAGGCAAACGCTCGGTCCAGATATATCATATCTATGGTGTACACTCGTGGTTTATGAGTGGCCTTTCCGCCTGAAGGAGGACGCTAAAGATATCGAATAGCAAAATTGATTTTAACAAAATGAATTGTTCTGCCGGAATGTATTCCACTTAACGGCTACTTTCAGGTGTAAAAGCATTCATGACGGCCGAGTGTACGCTCTGGTACACTTTGACACACGTATCAAACGATCGCGAAAAATCCCCCTGTTATTACGTTTTGCGAGGTGAAAACTTGTCGCTCTCAGCCATGAAATGCCATTATATAAATTTGCCCCCGATCTACTTTTACGATTTAACAACGGCTCTCGTGGCCTTAGCACGCCGCGGTGTACGTCTTCGCGGCTCGCCGGGTCTATTCCGGGCCGTGATTCACATGAGAATGGAGCTAACGATGCATCGACTCGCGATTAGTTTTCGAGAGAGAGAGAGAGAGGGAGAGAGAGAGAGGCGCGGCGGCCCTCCGGGATTTTCGCCACGAGTGTCGCAATTTATAAAGTTTACGAACGTCTTGCTCGCCAAATTGAATTCTGTTTGTCACGTGTTTTATCCGATATTCGCAGCTATCCGGCCTTCGTCGCAAACGCCATTTATCGTGAACGAGGCACTTTGCAAAGTGACGGGAAAAGATTTTGCAAATCCAATCTCGATGCGCCGAAGGCTCTCTTTCACCCTCCTTCCCTCCCGCCCTCTTCTTTCTCTTCCGCCGCGGCGCTCCTTCTTTTTTTTTTCGCCCCCTCTCGAGGTCTCCTTATTGTGCGCGCGGAGAGAATGCACGTGCACAGGACACGCAGTGGGCGCGACCGTAGTTTTGCGGAGTGGAAATGCATTAGGTAGATGGAACTCATAATTGGGGCCGCCGCGTGCACGTGCATCCACCCGCCGTATTTATTTCTTCTTTTCCCCCTTATTTTTTCGGGTTTATTTCCCCCTGCTCGCCCATACCCGCTCCGTCCCGCCGTCTCTCCTCGCGCGACACCCTTCGCCCCTCGTTTACCACAACGTTTGGATAAAAGCGCCGCTTTTATATTGCATTTCCGCGACGCCGTTCCCGATCCTCTCCCCGTCGTCGGCTATCCGCGCGCTTTTGCGCCTCGCGGCGGAATCGGCGCGATTTCCCCGCCTCCCGCGGTCGGACGATGCGCGCGCGATCGATCCGCACGCGCGAATAGAATCGCGAAAGGGCGCAGCGCGGGTGTCGGACCGCTGCCGATCGCCGGTACCGGATCGCGATAAGCCCGACGGTCCGCGACTATCAATCGGCGATCGGCCGCAGCCGTTTCTCCCCGCGCATTACGGTAATTACCCGCCCGTCGGACTTGATCACCGGTTAGCTTCTATCCAAGTCGGTACTTCCCACGGGCGCGCCGTCTACTCACGCGAAAGCCACCCCGGCTTCTCGATGCGTCTGCCGCGTGTACGTGCGAATGTGTGCGCGTGTCTGCGCGTGTGTCTGGCTGTGTGTGTGTGTGTGTGTGCGTGTGCGTGTGCGAGGCGTGCAAGCGCAAACGGAACAAAGCCACGTTAAGCTGGTTGCGATTGGTGTGTTGCAGACACGAGGTGCCTGTCACCTCGGAGCCGATCACGGTGATACACATGGACGAGGACGTCGTCGTGGTCAACAAGCCCGCCTCCATCCCTGTAAGTGGTGTACTGCCAGAACTGTACTGCCAGAAAATTGTTTGTCGTATTGTCCAACGAGCACGAGAGTACACCCGTACACTCGCATACACACACTGAAAAAAATTTCTGGTTGAATATGGACGAATCAGATAATTCCTTTAGGATTTACCAGAATTCCTTTAGGATTTACCAGAATTCCTGTAATCCTACAGAAATTCCTTTAGGATTTACCAGAATTCCCGCAATCCTACAGAAATTCCTTTAGGATTTACCAGAATTCCTTTAGGATTTACCAGAATTCCTGTAATCCTACAGAAATTCTGGTAAATCCTAAAGGAATTCTGGTAAATCCTAAAGGAATTATCCGATTCGTCCATATTCAACCAGAAATTTTTTTCAGTGCATACACACGCGTACACTCCCCACACACGCACGTTACTCCTCTCGCATGTTCTCCCCGATAAGTTTCCAACCAGCCTCCAAGTCGCTTGACGCTCGAAGCCGTTTCGGCTTCACCTGAAAAATCCCAGAAGCCGCCGACCGCGAGTGCCGCGTGAACCGCCCTCGCTGAAAATTATTCCCGGAGCAGCTCGCTCCCCGCGGGTTAAAGGCCCGCCGTCGCCGTTAAATATAGAATATGCCGAGTCTATTCTTTCGCACTCTCGCTGATGAAATTTTCCATCGCTTTGTCTAAATGTATATACGTACGTCCGAGCGGTGCCCCTGAAAATGAAATTCTAGCGCGCCACGAGCGGGGTGCGCGCGGACTCTCGCGCCCCTTCAACGGCCTTCTGATTTCATTAGCGTTACCTTTATTTCCCTCGCTCGCTCTCGCCGCCCTTTCTCTTCCTCGACGCGACTAAATCGCCGCTAACGAGTCTGTTTTTCAGACGGCGACTGACAAAACAACGCGGTTAACAGACGTACGCGTCAAATGCCAAGGGCCCCTGACGAGCATTCGCCTTTTTAAAATGCAACGTTTCGACGTCGCCCGCCGGCCGACCTCGGTCTCTCCTGGCACTTCGGCATACGGAACAATCGTGGCGAGAAAAAAGAAGCGTGCAGAGAGAGAGAGAGAGAGGGAGAGAGAATTTGCGCACGCACGCGGGGCGGACTCGCGTAAATGTCCCGCGGTCGCGGTTGCGCACGGGCGCGCGAATAAAACTCGCTATTAAAATGTTAATCGCGCGCATTACGGCGCTCGCAAATCACGGATAATTTACTCCGCGCTATTATTGCCGCTCCGCGATAATGTCGGGCGCCCGGGCTCTCGGCGCTGTAAAAACACGCGGTTAAAGGGCGAGAGAGCGCGCGCCGTCGTCTCGCGCTGGTGAACGCAGTGCCGCCGAGGGTCCCGATGCATTAAACCGGGCGATATCCGGTGATTCATTTGGATTAACGATCACCCCGGTTTCCTCGGAGAACGGAGTTTAAGAGGCCCCTTTCGTTTTCCACTTGGCGGCAATTTTCGTCTCGGTTATTTCAATTCGCGACAGTAATGCCGCGCGCGCGACGACGTATGCAGCTGCTGGAAAAAAAAATAGAGCTGCGCAAAGTGTCCAAAGAGAAGACAGCTCGCGAAACCGACTTACGAGACTTTAACGTGTCCTTTTTTTCTCCTCTTCGTAGTTTTTCCTCTCCCCGTTCTCTCTTTCGCTCTCGCAATCGTTAATTGTGTGTGTGTGTGTGTGTGTGTGTGTGTGTGTATGTATGTGTGCTCTGGGAGAAAAAAAGGCAGCAACCCATTTTGGGGCCCACAATTAGTAATCGAATTATTTGGATTGTCCGTAGCTCTAATCTTTTACGAATTTTACCCCGCGCAACTAAAAATCATAATTAGCTATTCTACCTGTATCCAAGATTTTAAAGTAACACTAATCAATTCTCTCAATTAGTTCTGTCGATGTTCAGTAGCGCAAAGATAATTTTCACTTAAGAGGCACTAACCGAAATGTTAAGTCGCTAAACTACAAAAGACAACGGTCAAACTTTTGTCGCAGAGTAGAGTTACGAACAATCCAAATAATTGGATCACTAATTGTGGGCCCCAAAGTAGCTTGCTGTCTTTTTTTCCCCCAGAGTGTGTGTCACACCGCAGTGGTTGCAGGTTTTATTAGCCTACGACGGACCGCGAGACTCCGCTCGGCGATAAATACAGTCGCGCGAGCGCCCGGTATCGCCCGGCGAAGCGAGGCTCGGCCACTTTTCCTCTCAAATGTCACCGAATGCACACTGGTGGTGGCCGCCGCGGGGGGGGATCGTTAACGAGAACTTGCGCAACAAAACAGCCGGGCATTAATGCAGAAATAATCCGACGCGCAAATACGCTCGGCGCGAGCGCGATGCCGCCCCGACTTAATTGTCGCTTTCGCGTCCGTTTTTCTCGAGTATCCTCTTTCACCTCCGTGCCGCCCCGCCGCGAGGGGACCTCTGGGGTCGCCCGACAATTCGGCCGAATTAATTTTCGCACGCGGACGTCGTTAAAATCGTCGCGAAATCGCGCGAAGGCACGACTTTCGCGTCCCTCGAGCAGATCGCGATTAAAATCCTTCGGCTGTTCACATTTCGCGTTAATTTTTCAAGGCATTTTAACGTCGACGCGCCACGTTACGATTTTATAAAATTTAAATTACGTTCATTTATTTATCGCGGGGGCACTGATGGAGAAGAGAAATTCGATTACGTTTCCAGATTACGACGATCGACAAAGTCACACACACACACACACACGTTCGGCTTTTCACATTTTGCGTTAATTTTTCAAGGCATTTTAATAGCGACGCGCCACGCAACAATTTCAAATTACATTTATTTAATTGTCAGGAGGACATTGATACGGGGAAGAGAAATTCGATTACGTTTCTGGATTACGACGATCAACAAAATTACACGCAACAAAATCATTCGGCTTTCCCGGTTAATTTTTTAAGTCATTTTCACGCACTGCCCCGAGTCGAAATGTTGGTACTATATATTTTCACACTTTTAAGGATAATTTACACCTACTGAGCTGATCTGTGCACCTACGTAGACCAGCAATAACCTACTTTGATGACATTATACTTTTTACTCCTCCTTTGAATCTTTAATTCTAAAAATTTACTTTAGCTCCTACTTAAAAGGACCTACTTTAATGCTAAATTGGCAAAAGCAGAATTTTCCGACACTATCGGTTTCACAGCAGGAGTAAATTTTGTACTTGCAGTTCGACCTCTTTTACTGTCTTAGGTTCTACTATAGGTATAGTAGAATTAAAGGTTCAACGTGGGCCAAAATTTCGATTCGGGGCGTCAGAATTTTATAAAATTCAAGTCACACTAATTAATTCATTACAAGAACACTGATGGGCGAAAGGAATTTCGCTTCCGGACCCCGCTGCGAGAAAGCGCGGCGGAAAAGCTCGTTGCGCGTACGTCAGCGTGAAAAGTTCGGGGGTTCGTTCCGGAGCTGTTGAAAATTTATTCCGCGACGGAAGGTGTGAAATTCCTGCGGCGGGCGAGTATTATAGAAAAGTGCCTTCGATCGCCGGATTATTGTAGCGGTTCGCCGGGGCCGCGCTGAGGGCCGTTCGATAGTCGACGTGTATTATTATTGTGCATACGCGGACCGTGGTGCTGACAGACGCGCGCGGAGCGGACTTATCGGGCCGGGAAGAGTCCGATACGATCCGCCAGCCAGTCAGCCAGGCCAGGTCGCTGTACCTGCAATACAAATCCGCATTGTCGGCCGGGATGCATAAAGCACCGCCGTTCCTGTGCCATGCCGATTCGAAACGATGAACCGACCCTCCTTTGTAGGCGCGATTGCTTTTTGTCCCGAACTTGCCAACAGAAATGGGTCGATCGCTCTTGTGCGGATGCATATGATCGTGTGTGTGTGTGTGTGTGTTTGTACATCGAATTTACATTGGCCACATGCCGCTAGGCACGCGAGTACATTTAAGTGGTGTAAGCTCCGTAAATCTACCGTCCACGTCTCATTTCCCGAGGATATTCTGGTTGCTCGGTGAAAAGTCCAAATCTCGCGAAATTGCGGAAGA